AGACAGTGTCTCACTATATTGCCCAGGTTAATCTCAAACTCTGGGCCTCAAGCATTCATCCCGACTCAGCCTCCCAAAGTGCTAGGATTACAGATACGAGTCCCCACCCCTGGCCTACTCCAGCCCTTTTAGAAAATAGTCTGGCAGTTCTTCAAAGGGTTAACCAGAAAATTACCATGTGAGTCAGTGAATATATCGTCTCCTAGATAGCTATCTAGGATAGATAGAAACATGTATAAATATAAAAACATATTTCTTCACAAACACTTGTACATAATTGTTCATAACAGTATTATCCTAATAGCCAAAAAGCAAAAACAATCCAAATGTCCACCAGCTGATGAATGGATAAATATACGGCAGCACAGGTGTCCCAAGGTCACACATGAAGTCTCCACACCAAGGGAAAATGGGAAATTGGAGCTAAGTGTACCTTTATTTACAAAATATTCTGTACGTGTTGGCCACTTCCTTATAAAATTTCGTAATGAATATTTTGTGATTAAAGGTACACTTAGCTACAGTTTCCCCTTTTTCCTCTGGATGGCAACCTTCTGGGTGACCTTTGCAACACCCTGTACATTCATACTATGGAATACTATTTGGCAATAAAAATAAATGAAGAACTAATACGTGTTATGACATGGATGAACCGTGGAAACACGATGAAGGAAAGAAGCCAGTCAGAAAAAACACATATTGTATGATTCCATTTACCTGAAATATCTAGAATAGGAAATCTATAGAGACAGAAAATAGAGTCCTAGTTGCGGGGACAAGGAGGAAGGTGGAGAGAGGAAGGAGGAATAACTGCTAGTGGGTATGGGGTTTCCTTGGGGGAGATAAAAGTGTTTTAAGTTTGATTGTGGTGATGGTTCAACATGAATATACTGAAATTCACTGAATCCTATACTTCAAGTGAATGAATTACATGATATGTGAATTGTATCTTACCGAGGTTGTTGTTTAAAAGGGGGAGATATACAAAACAGAAATAATACTTTTCTTTAAAAAAAAATCTTTGGCAAACCCAACACAGCCATTCAGAAGGGGGATATAAGACTTGGCCACTGAGTATGGAGAGCATTTGTTGTCTTTTGTGAAAACAGTAAGTTGAGACACACACTGGGCTCCCAATTATCCTTCCACAAGGACTCTGGGCTATGTTGAGTCAGATCTCAGGAAACAGTCATTCCTGAAAGTGAGCAGATGTTTTTCTCTTACAAGAAAACAGAAACAGTTGTACACAACATTTCTTGTTTTTGCATTGTTGCTGGGAACGATTACCCTGTGTCTAGGGCCAATGTATGGATAGCAATCTGGGACTCTCTGAAGCGTGATGGCTGGTGACGAGTCTTCCTGAGTGCACACATGGACCGAATCTCCACTTTGTTTGGGTTGCTTTAAGCTCTAGACTGATTCAAGCCCTTCTATGTGTGTCCATTCCAAACATGACCCTCTATCACCTGAGGGGTGAAATCTGACCAGAACAACTTAAAGTTGTTTACAGCATTTATTTATTTTTACTTGACTAATGCCCAAGGGACCAAACTAGTTAAGAGCTCAGCTAGGGCTCCACAAACTTCTGTTATTTGTCTCCTATTGTAACAACTTTTGCTACCTGTAATACTGATGTTTACTTAATATTTTTCTCTAAATTGATTTCCTTTTATTTTTACTTAAGTGTATTTATGAACACAAAGCAAAAGACAGTATTTCTTGCCGGAAGTAGGTCCCTCTTAACAATAAGCCCCATAAAAACACAATGTTGCTTATTCTAACTTGACACTGTTGCCTGACAAGCTTCTGAGCCTGAGGCCTCATTGATAAAAGTGTGAGATTAGCAAGGGAGGCTAAGAACCTGTTAGTACCAAACTGAGACTTTCTCCTTAACTCAATCAGAGTGGTTAAGTAAGAATTAAGAAAAGGTAGACGTTACAGAGGCCTTTTATTTCCTTCATGACTACTTACTAGAACCTAATGTATTGCCCACCTGTTTTTTTGTTTGTTTTGTTTTGTTGTGTTAGTCAGGCCTGTGAGGGGCCGGCAGACTAAGCACTGAGCTATGGCGCCCAGCTAAATCTATTTGGTTTTGAGGCACTAGACCGTCCCAGGCAGTGGAAGCCCCAGTTCTTCCCGTGTGCCTGGGTCATGGCAGACACTTAGTACTTTGATGTTGCCCCTTGAAGTTCTTATAATAACGATTACTTCATTATTTCAGAGCCAGAAGTGAGCCATATGGGCTAAGTTGAGGGTTGGGTTAGTCTGGGGACATCCTCTTATAACCATGGTGGCCTAGATAGGCACGTGAAATTTAATTTCCATTGAAGACAGAGGCAGTGGACTGGGACAGTAAAGTATGTAAGGCTTTAACCAGGATCCTTTCTGGGGAGGGATGGTGAGGCATGTTACTGTGTCAGAAAATTAAGTCAGGAGCAAATATGGGTGGGCAGGTTTAAAATCTCTGTGTAGACTTGAAGGTCTGATATTATACATTTGAGTATTTGGTGGAGTGCCAGGCACTGTACTGGGCATTGTCAGGGATATAGAGCTGGTACTCTCAAGGGGCTTTGAAATTATGAGAGAAGCCACAGGGACTATGACACAGTTTAAAATAAGGTGAATTCTATTTCTGTTAAGCTTCTAATAGTTGCAAATAGCAGACACCCAATTCGGGTCAGCATAAGTAAGAAAGAAAATGTATTGGTTCCCACATTCAGTGAGTCCAAGAATAAGTGGCTTCAGGTGTGGCTGGATCCAGGCGTTCAAACGGTGTGTTCAAAAATCTCTGTGTTGGCTTTTTCCTCAAACAGCCTTCCCATTGGTGGTGCCAGATACCACTAGCTCAGTAGTCTTAGTTAAAAGTGAGGTCTCTTCCTCATTTATTCCAGCATGACATAACAGAATTGAGTCCCAGTGGTCTTATCTGGGCCATGTGCACACCTCCCAAAGAGAGGAGTGGAGGTCAGCCTAGCAACTCACACCATTGGAGACAAGGGGAGGAGATGTTCGCCTGAGTCATCAGCACAGGGGGAGAGGATGCTGGGCAAGCAGGTATCACACTACCCACCAAGGAGGGGGCCATTCCAGCCTGGAGTGAGAAGAGCTTCATGGAGGAGGCGGCCTTTGGTCTAAACTTTGAATGTTAAATACAACTAGGGCTCCAGGAATAGATCTGGAGGGTCCTGCAGTAGGCTCTGCTCCATGTCCGGGGAGAAGGAAGGAGGAATCAGGTATTACCTCAGAAACCGTCACGTGCCAGGTTCCATGACAGGTGTCCTAGTAATCATCACAAGAACCCTATCTCCTCACACATATGGGAAGCAGAGCCTTAGAAAGACCTGATCTTCCTCCATGACCCACAGCTTCCACCCGATGCTCTGGACCTATGCTCTTCTCATTCCAGTCCATACCCACAGAGCAGCTGGAATCCCAGGTTTGATAGCATCATACCCTCAGGCCACCAAAGGTTCCAATTCTATTGGAATCAAAACCCAAATCCTTAGTGTGGCCCACAAGGCCCCACGTAGACTGGTCCTGCTCACCTCTGCGATCCACCTCCCCTAATGCCCTGCCCCCACCCCACCCCTCCTGACCTTGAGCCTTGGCACCTCAGTCACTCCTCCTGGGACTCCCAGACATGGCCTTTCGTAACAATTATCATTGACACTTGGGTGCCAGGTATTCATCCACACTCTCCATGCTTCCCCTCAGCCTGTCCGCACAACATCCTTAGCAGGTGGGAGCTGTTATTAATTACCCCCATTTTATACATGAGGAAACAGAAGCACTTGAGAACTTGATTTGCTCAAAGTCACACCACTGGAAAGTGGCAGAGCCTGGACTCGAAGCCAGCCACTTGGCCTCCAATGTCCTTTAAATGCTACAAGGATCTCAGGGCACAGAGCCCCGGTCCTTCCTATCACATGTTGTCACTGCATTTTTAACGGACTATGTGGTTACCACCTATCTTACCTACTAACAGCTAGTAGGAATACTAACTAGTAACTAGTAACCTGAGCACTTGGTCTGTGCTAGGCATTGCACTTAGCATGTTTCGTGCCTCACCCACTCTGGCCCTGTCAGCACTCCTATAAATTAGTAAGTCTTCATATAACGTCATCAATAGGTTTTTGGAAATTGTGACATCAAGTGAAATGATATACAGCAGAACCAATTTTGCTATAGGCTAATTGCTGTAAGGAAGAATTCCCATGGCATATTTCTGGTCACAAAAAACATCACCAAACTTCTAAATAAAGACCCAAACACTTCTAATATTACACGTTGAAATGTGAGCTATACACATACACACATTTAAGAAAGATTAATGGAAACAAGGAAGATCATTATTTACCCAGTTATACTAGTCCAGGCTCATGGTGGCCACAGCCTTTCCCAACAGCCCTGAGCCCAAAGCTGGAACCTGGACGGATCACCTTCCGTCACAGGGCACACTCACGCCGGGACAAAGTAGATCCATCAGTTCACCTGACATGCACATCCTTGGGATGTGTGTGTGTAGGGGGGGGATTGGAGTGCCTGGAGGAAGACCGACGAGGACCTGGGAAGAACAAGCCAACGCCACACAGACGGTGACCCTGGCTGGGAATCAACATTTTTTCCCCCAACCAACATCAAAATTGAATAAAACAACACTATTTGAGGACCATGCTTACACGTGGAGAACCTGGGGAGTTAAGCACTTTAGCAACTTGTCCACTAGGTTGTGAATTCCCAGATGGCAAGAAACCTTGTCCATTTTGTTCATCACTGAGTCCAGAGGGACCAGTTCGGTGGCAGCCATACTGCAGGGAGTCGATAAGTGCCTTGGGGTTGGATGGATGGGTGGATGGATAGATAATGGATCGTAAGAACGAAGGGAGGGAGGGAGGGACAGGGAGGGCTGGGATGTGCTGTCCAGTTCCAGCAGCAACAGGGACGTCCTCACAAGCGAAGGCTGGCGTCCTGTCTGATGCGGCTTCTTCGTGTCTCCCCGCAGGTGCCACAATGAGTGTGAAGAAGTACTTGCTGAAGGGCCTGCACCGGCTGCAGAAGGGGCCTGGCTACACCTACAAGGAGCTGCTGGTGTGGTACTGCGACAACACCAACACCCACGGCCCCAAGCGCATCATCTGTGAGGGGCCCAAGAAGAAGGCCATGTGGTTCCTGATTACCCTGCTCTTTGCTGCCCTCGTCTGCTGGCAGTGGAGTGTCTTCATCAACACCTACTTCAGCTGGGAGGTCAGCGTTTCCCTCTCCTTAGGCTTCAAGACCATGGACTTCCCGGCCGTCACCATCTGCAATGCCAGCCCCTTCCAGTAGGTCATCCCTGGAGCTCATGGCTGCCCTCAGCAGACTGGTTTTTCTTTTTCTCTTTTCCTTCCTTCCAATTGTCCTTTCCTTTCCTTTTCTTTCTCTCCTTCTCTTTCTTTCTCCTCTTTCTTCCCTTCTTTTTCTGTTTCTTTTCATTCCAGAGAACCCCTGCGTGGATGGGTTCTTAGAACTACTCAAGAGAACTCTTAATAATAATAATAACAGCACACCCTGTCCTGACTCTGTTCCATGTGCTTTTTTTTCTTTCTTCTCCCTTTCTTTTCCTTCCTTCCTCCCCTCCTTCTCTATCCCCTCCTCTCTTTCTTTCCCTTGCTACCTTCATCCTTTTGCAGCATGTAAGACTCACAATTCATAAGCTCCCTAGGCTTAAAGAGAACCTCAAGGCCAGGCAGAGTGGCTCATACCTGTCACCCTAGCAATTTAGGAAGGTGAAGCAGGAGGATTGCTTAAGCCCAGGGGTTCAAGGCCAACCTGGGCAACATAGTAAGTAGTAAGTCCCTCGTCTCTACAAAAAAAAATTTTTTTAATTAGCCAAGCATGGTGGCACATACCTGTCATCCCAGCTACATGGGAGGCTGAAGGAGGAGGATCTCTTGAGTCTAAGAATTTGAGGTTGAAGTGAGCTATGATGATGCCACTGGGTGACAGAATGAGACCCTGACTCTAAAAAGGAAAGGGAGGGAGAGAGGGAGAGAGGACCTCAAGTAGTTGTATATTCCAAACATGTTTATTGAGCACATCCTGTGTGCCAGGCACCTTTCTAGGCTCTGGAAATATGGCAGCAAATGAAAAGGGGCCCCTGCTCACTTTACAGCATATCTTTTCTGGGCATTAAAGTTTTGTCCACAAATATTGAAAATAAATTATGATGAAAAAATATAAATACATCAAGTGCTTATGATATGGCAGCCATTGTGCTCAGTGTTCTTCGGGTAACTGATGTCATTCTCATCCACACAACCACCCTAAGGGTGGGGACTACTGTGGCATAACCAATTTACAGGCAAGGAAATGGGGGTTCAGAGAGGTAAGTGAACTTCCCCAGAGACACACAATGGCCAATTGTGGGATTTAAACCGGGCTCAATCCACTTTAGAGCTTGTTAGCCATTCTGCCGTGTTAACCCTCCCCCACCCCATTTGACGGCAAGGCATCCAAGGAGGAGACATATGGGGAGACCCAACTCTGTTTGGGTTGAGGAAAGACAGGGGTCAATCAAGGAAAAAACCCCCAAAGGGTGAGTAGAAGTTAGGTGGAGTGAGGACAGTGCCCTGAGTGGTGCACACAGCATGAGCGAAGGCCCTGGATGGAGACAGAGTTTGGTGCATTCAAGGAACTAAAAGAAAGGTCAGCATGGCCAAATCACAGAGAACATTCTTATCTAAACAGAAGTCCTGGAAGGGAATTCACACCTCATGATTACATTTCCAGTTATCAGAAAGTCCCTTCTTTCTAGTAACAGGGCTCTTCTGCTCAGATGGGTCCTCGGAGCTACTCAAGAGAACTCCTAATAATAATAACAGCACACTCTTGTCCAGGCTCTGTTCCATATGCTTTAAAAGCATAACCTAATCAAGTCCTCCCAACAACTCTCTGAGGAACAACTCTCCCCTGTCTTCTAGATGAGAGAACAGAGCCTCAGAGACGTTAAGATGCCCCCAATATTAAGTGGCATGCCACAGTTTGCATCCAGAGCCCACACAGTGGCCCACCGAGCTCGACAGCAGCTGTGGACACCTAGGCTGTACTGACACTGCTTCTGCATGGTGCCTCCCTTATGGATCCTTCTCTCCCTCTGTGCACAAGGTGGCTTCTTTATTGGTCAGAGCCCTGAAGGGCTGAGAGAAGATACTGGAATCGACCTCACAATCCCATCCGCCTCCTGAACTTACCTCCTATTCCCAAAATTGCTCCCCCATGAGAGGGAGCTATCAGAACCCTGTACACAAACAGCATACCTGCTGGAGCCCACCAAACCTGGTTCTGATCTCAGCTCTGCCCCCTGTCAGTGGGGTAAGCAATTCCCAGAGCCTCTGTTTCCCAATCAATAATAGAATTGTGGCAACGAGTAAATAAAATAAGATGTAGGCAGCACTGAACACCTGGCATGTAGTAAGTGATCAGTAACTGTGGGCTGTTAAGATTCCTCCTCACCAGAATGTGAATTTCATAAGGAAAGAGACCGGGTCTGTCTTGTTTGCCACTGTATCATCTGTGCCTTGCCCAGTGCCTGGCACATAGTATATGCTCATCAAATACTTCTGAATGCATGAATGGATGGGGGGTGGGGACACGAGGATGCACGGTGGGTGGGTGGAGAGTTGGGTGCTTAGATGGGCATTCTTTTACACATGGGGGCAGCCACTCTGCAGTAAGAAGCCCCCAGAGGCCAGTTGTGTTGCCTTGCAGCTGCCTCTTACCCATCTGACTGGCCTCTCCCCATCCAGATATTCCAAAGTCAAGCATTTGCTGAAGGACCTGGATGAGCTGATGGAAGCTGTCCTAGAGAGGATCCTGGCTCCTGACCCCAGCCTTGCCAATGCTACGAGGGCCCTGAACTTCACCATCTGGAACCATACACCTCTGGTTCTCATCGATGAGCGGAACCCCCACCACCCAGTTGTTTTTGACATCCTTGCAGATAACCACAATGGCTCAGCAGCAGCAAGAATCTGTAATGCCCAGGGGTGCAAAATGGCCATGAGACTAGTGAGTGAGCACATGTCCCACCCCAGGGAGGCTGAGGAGGGCTTCTTTTCTTTAATAATTTGAGTCTTCCTTGGAGAAAGACATGTTGGATACCAGCCTATTTTGTTTGTTTGCAGAGCTTTTTAAAAAATAGAAATAGCACTCTGGAAGGCTGAGGAGGGTGGATCGCTTGAGGTCAGGTGTTCAAGACCAGTCTGAGCAAGAGCAAGACCCCCATCTCTACTAAAAATATAGAAAAAATTAGCCCTGTGTCGTGGTGGGCACCTGAAGTCCCAGCTACTTGGGAAGCTGAGGCAGGAGGATAGTTTGAGCCCAAGAGTTTGAGGTTGCTGTGAGCTAAGATGATGTCACTAGCCTGGGTGACAGAGTAAAACTCTGTCTCAAAATAAAACACAAAAAATATTTTTTGGATGCAAATAACCCAGCTTAAACTAGCTTAAGCTAAACAGAGAGTTCATTGGTTCACATAACTAAGAAGTCCAGTGTGTGTGTAGGGGGTGGTTGCATTCAGGTATGGCTGGATCCAAGTGTTCACATGCTATCATCCAGACTTTCTCTTCAACTTTTCGCTTGGTTGATTTCACTCTCTGGCAGGCTCTCTCCACATGGAGGGCCCTATCAGTGTCAGGCTTATATTCCCTTGGCAAAACAATCTCTCCAGAAAGAGCGTTCTTCTTTCCTAATAGCCCCAGTCAGTCTTGGGACTGACTTATCAGGTCACATGCTCACCCCTGAAGCTATCACCATGGCTTACAGGATAGGCTCTCATAATTGGCCAATCTTAGGATATGTGCCCCGGGGCTGGGGTGATGTCAGCCTCTGTCCAACCACATGAACAAAGGAAACAGTGGTTCCCTGAAGCAGGAACCGAGTCTTGTTATCAAAAGACAAAGGCATAATAAATATTGGCCAGGTAAAAAACCACAGCTGTGCAGTATAGTCAGATGCTCAGAATTAACTGCCCTGCAGTGGGAGGCTGGACACCCTCAGTCCTTGGAGCCTATACATGGGACAAAGGTCCTCTATATGTATCTTAGGAACCCCTTGGGAGAATAGCCACAATGCAGATCCCTGGGCCCCACTGCTGAAGAGTGGGAAGTTCTGGGCTCAGGCCCGGGAATCTGTATTGTCAGCAGACTCCCTGGTGATGCTCATGATCAGCCTTGGTTGGGAACCCAGGCCAGGGGTACGCACTTCCCAGACAGGCTGCCACTGCCTCCCCTGCTTGTTCATTGGGTCATGACTGCTACAGCTCCCGCCTTCTCCACACAGACCAGCCATGGCATGAGGCTCCTGGGGCTGGTGCCAACCCTGGCACAGTCTAGCACCAGCTCTACCAGCTCTGCACTCTCTGGTGCAGTTACCTGGCTAATGGTGCCAATTTTCTCATCCCTGCTGGCTGCACCTGTTCTGGGGGTCAGTGGAGTGTGTGTGTGTGTGCGTGTGTGTGAATGGGCATGTGTGTGTGTGTGTGTGTGTGTGCGTGTGCACGCACCTGTGTATGGGGGGAGCTGCTGCAGTCATACCTTCCTTAACCTCTCTGGGCCTCAGTTTCTCCATGATGATGGGAATAGTGATGGTATCTACTCCCAGGGTTGCTGCGAAGTTGAATGAGGTAATAGAAGTGAAGCCCTGAGAATAGAGTAAGGGTTAAGTAAAGAGGCCTCCAGGAGGGGGCTAAGGACGTGTCCCAGGCCGGCCAGGCTGTCTAAGAATGTCAGGAAAGCTTCTCTACCCTGCCTATTGATCCCAGAAGGAAAGACCAATAGTGACCCAGTGGTTAAGTCAAGAATCTTTCCTGTGTGTGTGTGGTGACCTGGATGTCACAGTGGGTGAAAGGGCCCCTGAACCCCTCTGCAGGCTCAGGCTGACAACGGCCATGTCCTTCCAGCAGGGGACAAGATGGTAGGCTCTCCTGAGCCTGAGTCTCTCTTGGGGAGCTGTGTCTAGACTGTGGGGAGGGGGCTACAAGAGAGAGCAGTCAGAGGAGTTCCGTGTGTGTGCGCACGTGTGTGCGTGTGTACGTGTGGCCACTCAAGGGTAAGTGCAGAGCCTGCTTGTGTGAATCCAGGCTCGGGGCTAGAATGGATATGTGTGTGCTGTTGTCACCCTGTGGAGGTCAGAGGAGGGGTGTCTATCCATGTGAGCCTCTGTATACACGACTGCATGTGTGTTTTCACCCATACATAACAGCACATGTGGGGGTGCGGCTGGTGGCTGTGTGGGGTCTTTGTGACCAACACACAGCTGTGCGTGAGGTGGCAGTCCCTGAGCATGATGAGAACACATTGCCCACTGGCCTGGTGCAGTGGGAGGGGCGGCTGACACATCGCTGCCCTTGCCCTTCTGGGCCTGGAGCAGTAGTGGGGGCCCTGCCAGCTCTCCCCGCTGCTCCATAGGAACCCCTCTTGGCCTCTACAGTGCAGGCTCAACAGGACCGACTGCACCTTCCAGAACTTCACCAGCGCCACCCAGGCAGTGACGGAGTGGTACGTCCTGCAGGCCACCAACATCTTCTCCCAGGTGCCCACCTGGGAGCTGGTGCAGATGGGCTACCCCTCGGAGCAGCTGATCCTGGCCTGCCTGTTTGCGGCTGAGCCCTGCAGCTACCGGTGAGAGCCGCCCCATGCCCACCTACCAGGGCCTGCCCCAGAGCAGTGGTGCTGTGGTCAGGAGCCCCGCCTGCCAGGGTCCAAATCTCTTTGGGCCACTGACCAGCTGCCTACACCACAGTGTTCTGTGTCCTTGTGTGTTAGGTCAGTGCTTTGAAGAACTCACAGTGTACTGAGGGGATCACCTTAGGAAAAGTATACAAGACAGTGGGATAAGGAAGGAAGGACTAGCAGGATGTAGTCTCAGGCAATGCCCTGTTGCGGGAGACACCATGGAGTCATTTCTCCTTGAAGGAGGAGGCTGCCTTTGTAGATGCCTCAGCATGGGCCCCTGGCTGTGGGCTTGCCAGGAGGAAGATTAGGGGCCTCCTGACTTCTCCAACTATTCACCCCACGGCCTACAGCTGGGGTGAGGGGACATGGGCGGGTGCCCAGGGTCTACTGCCCCTGGTTCGGATCTCTGAAACAAAGACAACTATCATACCTTCCTCCTGGAGGGACTGTGAGGAGTGAGGGATCAGGCGCTCCGAATGAGGCCTTGGATGTGACCACTGTTCATATTCTTTTCCCTTATAGCCCTTCATGTCGAGAGAATGGCGGGATGAGGGCCATGTTAACCCAGGAAGTCTGGGGCTTCTTACAACTGGCCCACAGACTGATTCCTACCTCCTTGTCCTCCCAGCTCCTAACAAAGCAAACCCTGGCCCTAAGCGCCAAGTTTGGTCCCAGTCTCTGGTGGCACCACCAGAGGCTGCACATGGGAAGGGGGACAAGGCCCAGGCAGGAGAACTTCAGAGGCCCTAGGGCCCCTTTCGGCCTCAAGGCCACGCCTCCAGGTGGGGGGTGGGGCACACACCTGGGCTGGCCCCAGGCTTCAGCTGATCTGTTTCTAAGATTTGCTAGTGTCTTCCTTGTCTCACACTTCAGGTATCTGGAGAAAGGGGCTTTTTGCTGAGGCTCGATGCCTTGGGTATGTGACATGTTTCCAGGCTTGCCCTCCCACAATCTATGGCTCCAACCTAGCTCTCTATGGAGAATCTTCTGAAAGCCATGGGTCGTCTTTCCCCCAAAATGCACAGACACACACAGGCAAGAATTTTGCACATAATGTCAAATAGTTCAAGGCCCACCAAGCAGGACAGAGCAGCACACGTGGCCCATTTTGCAAATTAGAAGACCACAGTCTCTACAGGTGGAACAAGATGGCACCCTGCTGGTGGGGCCCCAGCCTTCCTTAGGGCCACTCCTAGGCTAGCTGGCTGCAGGCTGTATTTCAACCCCACTGTCCTGGCCAGAGGTCCTCGCTCAGGGCACACCTGCCCAACCGTACCTGCCAAAAGGCTAGAGCTACCCAAAGGACTAGTGTGATGTCCACAGGCAAATCCACGTTTACCTGCTCAGATGAAAGAGGGACATGGAACACTCATCTCAAATATGTGACCCACCTGTTGAGTAAGGACATGCCCTGGACCAAGAGGTGGGAACTTGGGATCTGCCATCAAGGCCTTCCCCATTGAGTGCAATCCCAGGGTCAAAGGCATAAACAGGGCCCCCACACTGAGCCAGCCGCTCCAGCCTTCCCATGGCCAACATGGTGCCCTCCAAAGGAAGCCCCATTTGGGTCAGATGGGCTGAGGGTCCCCCAAAGGAAAGCTGAGGAGCTATTAGTGGGAAAAGGGAGAATGGCTGGTGGCAGGCAAAACCCCCACTATTGGTCACATGACTGCTGTGCTGGTGTTGGGCATGGGCAGTAAGGTTAGTCCAAGATGGGGACTGGGGTTAGATCACCTGAGCTGTAATCATAAAAGCTGTGTGATGTTGAACAAGTGTCTTAGCCTAGCTGGCCCCCATTCTCCTCTGTAAACAGGGGAAATAACAGTACTGCCATGCAGGGTCATTTTGAATATTAAATTAGCCATAAAGAGCTGGCAATAGTATTGGGCTCAAGAAATAATAGTCATGACTATTATTAAACTCATTATTATTTAATTTGGGTGACAAGGAATTATATTATATTAAATAATTATACCAACATTTACTGGCCCTTCTTGTGTGTGCAGGGCATTATTCTAAGCACTCTATGTTATAAAATTACTTTAACTCTGGCAATAAGCCCACAAAAAAGATACTTTCCCCCCTCCCTTGCCATTTTATAGATGATGAACCTGAGGCCAAGAGAGGTTAAATAACATCCCTCAGGTCACACAGCCAGTGAATGGCAGTCAGCAGTCTGGGCCAGGCCTCCCTCATCACTCTGTCACCACATCAGAGATGACCAGTATCATCTTCTGTCCCTGCCCACCTCTCCCAAGCCTCCTCCTCCAGCCCTCAGCAGGTCTGAGTGAAAGGCACCACCCAGCCACCTTGGCACAGAAATCTCAGTCCATCTGTCCCTGATCTCTTTCTCCCTCCCACAGCCGCTGAGTCAGCCTGGGACACAGCTGCAGGCACGTGCCTCTCTCTGCCCTCCCAGCCGCTGGCTCCACAGGCTGTGGCCCCACCTCCCCCTGTCTCCATCTTCTCCCATTCTGAGTGTTTAGTAAATGCTCAAGCAGCAGCTACTGCAGCATTGGGACAACCTGGGACCCATTTGGAGCTTCACACCATGCACCAGCTCTGCATGTGGTGGGACATACTACTTGGCCTCTCCATGCCTCAGTTTCCTCTTCTGGAAAATGGGGACAGCAAACTAACCCCAGAGCACCATCAGAGGTGTATTAAACAATTAACATATGTAAAGAACTCAGCATAGCACCTGGCACATGACAAGCATTTTTTTTTTTTTTGAGACAGAGCCTCAAGCTGTCCCCCTGGGTAAAGTGCTGTGGCATTACAGCTCACAGCAACCTCCAACTCCTGGGCTCAAGCGAGTCTCCTGCCTCAGCCTCCCAAGTAGCTGGGACCACAGGCACCCGCCACAACGCCCGGCTGTTTTTTGGTTGCAGCCGTCATTGTTGTTTGGTGGGTCCGGGCTGGATTCGAACCCGCCACCTTAGGTGTACGTGGCTGGCACCTTAGCCGGTTGAGCTACAGGCGCCGAGCCATGACAAGCATTTTTTAAAATAGACTTTAACTGTGGAATAATTTTAAGTTTACAGAAAAGTCACAAAGACAGTACGCAGAGTTCCCTTAGACCCTTCCCCAGTCTCCTCTGTGGTTAACATCTGACATCACCGTGGTCATTTTTCTAAACTAAGAAACCAGCTTTGACAAGTTACTATGAAGCATACTAAACACTTTATTTAGATTTCATCCACTTTTCCCAGAGACCCTTTCCTGTTCCAGGATCCCATCCGGAGACTCTGTTGCATTTAGCTATCATGTCTCTTTAGTGCCCATGACAATTTCTCAGACTTCCTTGTTTTGAATGACCTTGAGGGTTTGGGAGCATCGTTTTATAGAAAGTCCTCAATCTGGGTTTATCTGTTCTTCCTAACTGGGATTATGGGCTTGGGGGAAGCACATCGCACAGTGGCAGGTGGGGGGCCCTCATCCCATCATGTCAGGGGTGTATCGTGGCCACATGACATTGTCTGTGATGTTCCCCTTCCTCACTTGGTTGACATACAAGTACACTGTGCCAGGCTAGTTCATTGTAAAGCAGCAAGCACCTTTCCCCTCCACGCTGCGTATTGCAAAAGTGAGTCACTAAGTCCAATCTACACTCGGGGAGGGGGTGGGTGGGTGGCGGAAGGAATATACGTTACCCTCCTGGAGAGACGAATGGGTGTTATTTGGGATCCTTCTGTAAGGAAGGTTTCTCTCTCTTCCATTTGTTCGTTGATTCAACCATTTATTTATACAGTGTGAGCTCCTATTTATCTGGGCTGTAATCTAATACCATGTTGTTTATTCTCTTGCTCCAGTTCCTCGTGTTGGCCACTGGGAGCTCTGTCACTTAGCTCCTGTGTCCCTGTGACATGTCCCCATCTTTGTTTGTTTGCTTTGGGGGGGGATACTTTCTGCAGTTCAAGATGCTGCAGCCACCCTAGAATTGGTTTTTTCTCCAAAGAGCCCTGTTTGTTTATTTTTTAATTGGAGAATGGTATTTAGAAAGCAGGATCTGGGCATATACTTAATAGAAGGAGCAGCATCATCACTATTGCTTTGGGGATTGGCCAACTCGCTTCTCCCCGGGAAGCCCTCCCTGACCTCCTACCACCACACAGAACCTCTGTCGGATGCCCAGATGCTCTTCTTCTGGTCTCCTGGAGTCTTGCTGGTCTGGGCCTGCAGCCCTGGCCCCTGGCCCCTGGCCCAGAAGAGGTTTTTGAGGGAAACAGCAGCTCTGGAGGCAGAGAGGGGCTGGGAGCAGCCTCTCTCGGTAAAGAGCATGATCAACAAGCAAATAGTTGGCACGTACCAGGAGACCAGAGTGTGGCCCTGGCAGGAGGGGATCCGGCCACACCCTGAGCAGCCTCCCGGGCTGCATCTGTCTGAGACAGTCTCTTGGGAACACCGTGTCCCCCGCACCCTGGGGCGAGGTCTCTCCCTCAAGAGCAGTGCCTCCCGGCTCTGGCTGGTTTGCCCTGCTCTGCTCTCTCCCTGTGGCCACAGCCCTGATCCCACAGAGCGTACAGACTCCACAGTGCCCGCCCAGAGCTGTTGCTTCCCTCCAGTCCTTTGCCAAAGCTGTGCCCCCTGGCCGGTGTGCCCTTTCTCCTTCCTCCCCACCTTCCAGAATTAGCTCCCTCCTGCTCATTCTAAAGTCTTAGCTCAGGCGTCACCCGCTCCAAGGAGGCTTCCCTAACCCACTCCCTACTCCCCACCCACCGTGGGGAAATAGGTGTCACTGCTCCCTGCTTATCTCTGTAGATTCCCTTATCACATATTATGATTTATTCAACAAATATTTACTAAGCGTCTATGTACTGTGTGCCAGACTCTGGGGACACAGCTGTGAGCAGGTGCAGCCAGAATTGTTTGAGCATTCCAGTATGTGAGGCATCTCACCCGTGCCTGCAGAGTGGGGGCTGTTACAGATGGAGAAAGTGAGGCACAGAGAGGTGAGTAACACCCCCAAACTCACCAGCTAATAAGTAACAGAGCCCAGCTCACATCGGCCAGACTGGCTCTGCAGCCTGTGTTCCTCACCACCGAGCTCTTCTTCTAGACAGACAAGGTCTCGTGCCCTCACTGGGCTTGCATTCTAAGCAGCTGATAAGTAAGCAATCAAATCAAGAGGATGATTCCAGATTCTGGCACATGCTATAAAGGGAATAAACTGGTGGAAATGATATGGAATACCTGGCAGGGAAGTCTATGACTCTTAGTAATAATTAAAGCACTATTATCTAACAGCAAAAGTCTATCACTCTGGATAGGGAGGTCTCAGAACAGATGCAAGGGTGAGGAGAAGCCAGTTATTTGAAGAGCTGGTTACAGAATATTCTAGGCACAAGGGACAGCAGGTGCCATGCCCTTGAGTTTGGAAACATCTGGAGTATCACTGGAATGTAGCGAGCAAAGGCTAGAAGGCCAGTGCGGGGAGTCTGCATTTTATTCTGCAATCCATGCAGAGCCTACGGGAGGGGTCCACGCAGGGGTGTGCCGTGGTCTGACCCTGACCTCAGTGCAGGAGGAAGGTTACAAGGGAAAAGAGTAGAGGCACAGGCTCCTCCACGAATCCAGGCATAAGATGCTGGCAGCTGGGGCCAGGGTGGGAGTCTCAGAGGTAGAGACAGGCAGACAGGTAGAGTCACGTTCTGGAAGGAGAGAATTGACAAGACTGCCCTCCCTGTCCTCCGCCACGCTGGAAGCTGTGAAGGGCAGCCCTGTCTTGCTCTCGTTATGTCCCTAACTCAATACCCACCTCAATAATTGTTGCTGGGTGAAGAAATGTGGTTCCTTCTTGCCTGCCCTTCACCATTGAGGAAACTAAAGCTTAGAGGTTGAGTAAGCCGCTCAACCTCCGTCAGACAGTGGCTGAGCCGGGGTCAGCTCCCGTATCCAGTTTCACAGGCTGCCCTGGACTCACCTCATTCTGCAAGTCCTTATCTGAAAATAAGGGAAAATAACACCTGACCTCATGGGGTTCTTTAGGAGGTTAAATGAGATAATGCACACAGAAATACTCAGCATGGGCCTGGCCCGTAAAAGTTGCTGAGTAAATGTTTAATGTGGAGCATAAGGCTTCAAAGACAAAACTGCATGTCAGTTGACTTTTTTTTTTTGTATCATTGGGTGCACTTACTCCAGTTTCTTCCTTTTTTTAATAGATAAGAAAGAACGATATAGAAACATTAAAAAGTTTCTGTGTTTTTTTTTGAGATGAGATCTCATTATGCTGCCCAGGCTAGTCTCAAACTTCTAAGCTACAGCAAACCTGAGCATCTGAACCTTCTGAGTAGCTGGGATTACAGGTGCATGCCCCGCTGCCTGGCCAGAAAATTATTTTTAAAACTGTTTATCATGGAGACTTGAGAACATGCACGTAGACAACACAGAATTTGGTGAATTCACATGGACCGACCACCAGAACCAGTAACCCATGACTCCCTTCTCCTCACTTCCAATAGCAAATCCCACATAGCACGCTTCCATCTGTGAATTGTTCAGAATGTGTCTGCAAAAGATAAAGACTCTTTTTTAACATAACCACAATATCATTATCCCACTTGAAAAAAATTCACAATAATTCCTTAATATCAACTCTCCAGTCATGTTCACATTCATAAATATCATAGCTTTTTATTGTTTGAGTCAGGGCAGACTTTAATTAAAGTTCATCCATTGTGATTTTAACCCAAATCTTTTTTTTTTTTTTAAAAACAGAGTTTTATTTTGTCACCCTGAGTAGATTACCATGGCATCATAGCTCACAGCAATCTCAAACTCCTGGGCTCAAATAATCCTCTTGCCTCAGCCTCATAAGTAGCTGGGACTACAAGTGCCCACCACAACGCCCTGGCTATTTTTAGAGACAGGGTCTTGCTCTTGCTCAGGCTGGTCTTGAACTCCTGAGCTCAAGCAATCCATCCATCTCAGCCTCCCAGAGTGCTAGGATTACAGCCATGAGCCACTTGGGGTGGCCTTTTAACCCAAATCTTTTAAGTTTTTTTTTTTTTAATCTATAGGTTGCCCCGCCCCTATTCTCTCTCTCTCACAATTTATTCATTCAAGACACTGGGTAATTCATCCTGTCACGTTACCAGTCTGGCTTTTCTCACCAACTTTCTACAGTGTCTTTTTTTTTTTTAGAGTTGGGGTTTTGTAATGTTGCACAGGCTGGTCTTGGACTCCTGGCCTCAAATCATCTTCATGTCTTGGCCTCCCAAAGTAATAGAATTAATTATAGGCATGCGCCACTAGGCTCTGCTTCTGTGGTGTCGTTTAACATGTTCCTTGTTGCCGTATTTCCTAACAGTAATTAGAGATCGAGTATTCCATCCTGTTCAGAAGTATTTCATCCTTCTTGAAGGGCAAGGTCACTGCCCCTGTGGCCTATGTTCTTCCATCAGCAGATACACCATTAGACACCACTGATGTTCCTTGCCAAGCCCTGAATTCATCAAGGGTTGCAAAATGACGGTGTTCTAATTGTATCATTCCATTCTAGTTATTAACTGGTTCAAATCAGATCTCCTGTAACAGCTATATTACATTTTTTTAAAAAGTCGGAGGGAGGCTCGGCGCCTATAGCTCAACCGGCTAAGGCGCCAGCCATGTACACCTAAGGTGGCAGGTTCGAATCCCCAGCCCGGACCCGCCAAACAACAATGATGGCTGCAACCAAAAAATAGCCGGGCGTTGTGGCGGGCACCTGTGGTCCCAGCTACTTGGGAGGCGGAGGCAAGAAACTCGCTTGAGCCCAGGAGTTGGAGGTTGCTGTGAGCTGTAATGCCATGGCACTCTACCCAGGGGGACAGCTTGAGGCTCTGTCTCAAAAAAAAAAAAAAAGTCAGAGGGAGCCATATTAAAAGAAAAGGCATACCAACCAATGACATGTGAAAATTATTTGAATCTCAATTTAAATTAATATATTCAATTGTAAAAAATAGAATTGGTATTTATGAGACAACTAGAAATTTAAACTGAATATTTACTGATACTCTAGCAAGGAAATTTGTTAGCTACTTTAAACACGGCTATAGTATTATTTTTAAGAGTTCTTATGACCAGTAAGTCATAAGTTCTTATGCCTGTAATCTCAGTGCTTTGGAAGGGCTGAGATGGAAGGATTATTAGAGGCTAGGAACTCAAGACCAGCCTGAGCAATATAGTAAGATCTGATCTCTACAAAAAGAAAAAGAAAAAAATTGCCAAGTGTGGTGGCACATGCCTATAGTCCTAGCTGCTCAGGAGGCTGAGCTGGGAAGATCGCCTGAGCCCAGGAGTTTGAGATTGCTGTGGGCTGTGATGCCTCCACTGCACGTTAGCCTAGGTGACAGAGCAAGACCCTATCTCAATAAACAAACAAACAGTTATCACTTTTAAAGATACATAAGGAAATAAAATTATGATGTCCAAGATTTTTTTCAAGATAATTATTAATTTAATAATAGTTAATTACTATCAAGTGGAAGGCCGAGATGTCTGATCATGAAATGATGTTCATCAAAGCTGGTGGGGGTTTCATTCTCTCTACTTTTCTATGTTTGAACTATTCCACAACCACAAAAAAAAAAAAAAAAAAAACCCAGGAAATTGGCTCAGCACCTATAGTCCAGTGGTTATGGCACTGGCCACATGCACTGAGGTTGGGTTCGAACCCAGCCCGGGCCTGCTAAACAACAATGAAAACTGCAACAAAAGATAGCCAGGCGTTGTGGTGGGTACCTATAGTCTCAGCTACTTCGGAGGCCGAGGCAAGAGAATTGCTTAAGCCCAAGAGTTTGAGGTTGCTGTGAGCTGTTGCTGTTGCTGTCATGCCACAGCACTCAATGGAGGGGCTACATAATGAGACTCTGTCTCAAAAAAAAAAAAAGACAGTAAATTATTTCACTGGATTCTTTGAAACTACTTCATCCTGCTACGACTTCGAGAACATTTGTTGTTGTTGAATCATTTCCTGAGGAAACACTTCCCAGATTCACACGCCCTCCTGGGCCTGCGTCTCAGTCCAGTTCCTCTCTTTGGCTGAGGTCCCCAGGTTTTCTCATCCACCTCTCTGATCCTGCCAGCTCCTTTGAGCAAACACTGTCTGGTGCTGCCTTGTACTTTCATGGCTTCTATGAGTGTCTTGTGGCTGCTGTAACAAATTATCCAAAGCTGAGTGGCTTAAAATAACAGAAATTCAAAAGAGGCCAGAAGTCCACCATCCAGGCTTCGGCAGGATGGGGCTCCCTCAGCAGGATCTAGGGAGAATCCTCCTTGCTTCTTTCTGGTGTTTTGTCTGCATAACTCTGCCTCCGGCTTCACATGGGCGTCCTCTATCTGTGTCTCATCCTCTGTCTCTTATAAGGACACTTGTCATTGGGTTTGGGACCCACCTGGATAATCCAAGATGATCTCATCTCAAGATCCTTAGTTATAGCCGCAAAAACCCTTTTTCCAAATAAGGTCACATTTGCAGATTCCTGTGATGAGAATGTGGACACATCCTCTTTGGGTGTATAAGAGACAGATGAAAACAACTAAGAAAGTTCTTTTTCATGGCTCGTGGCTAAACCAGAGAAGCCTAAACCCCTGAGAGACTCCTTTCCTCCCTCTTTCCTGAGGAGGTCTGGGTGTCTCCTGGCTGGCTCCTACAGAGGGGTGGATGGAACGGCCTGCAGCTCACCTCTGCTCATTGAACCTCTCTGAGCCCAGAGGAAGGGCAGGCAGCACACAGCCAGGGAGGCATCTGCTGGGGGTTGGGGAGGCTGCCCTCCAGCTCATGCTGTTTCTTTTAGGAACTTCACGTCCATCTTCTACCCTCATTATGGCAACTGTTACATCTTCAACTGGGGCATGACAGAGAAGGCACTCCCTTCAGCCAACCCTGGAACTGAATTTGGTGAGTCTTGGTTCGTCCTGGGGCCAGAGCCATGAGGCTACTCCCTCCCCCCATCAGTTGTGGGGGTGGGACTTGGGAGCATTGAGGCTGGCACAGAGAGGGGTGGACAGTCTTGGGGCTTGACTAGGGGGCAGGGGGGCAGGCCAGATGCTTGCATTCTGTCCACCAGTGCTCACACTCCCTAGGCTAGACACTGCTGTCCCATTCTACTGATAAGCAAAATGAGGGTGCAGAAGCAGTGTGGCTTTGAGGTCAAGAGCTCACTCTCCCATGCCCGGCTCAAATCCCAACTTCATCACTCATTCACTGGGTGATTCTGAGCTCAAAACTTCCCTTCTCAAAGCCTCAGTTTCCCAGTTCTGGGAACAGTATAGGGTGGCAGGTGACAGCGGTCTCCGTCTAGGATGTGCCTCGTGAGTGGTCATGCCGTGATGCAGGCAGGAGGTAGCCAGGGCTCTGTATCTGCTGGGTAGTCTCAGAAGTTTGGAAACAACTTTCCCAGGATCGCCCAGTTAATAAATGGCACTTACTCTTAGCCTCTCTGCTGGACAGTTCTGGAGAAGAGAATCACAGAGACAGAGGGTAAGGGAGTACATGGACGTGAGGAAGAGGGAAGCAGTTGATGACAGACTCTCTTCCCTCGCGGCTGATGTGGTAGCCTGTCCCCTTGAAAGAGGCTGGTAGCCTCAGGCCAGCTGCGGCTTTGGGGCTTGTGAGCTGGGCACAGGTGGGAGCGGCTCCTTCACCACACCTCTCAGGTTCTGACCTCTCCAGCCACCAAGAGGCAGGTTGTCATTCAGGGAACATCAGGGCTCCCAGCTGAGAGGGGGATGGGTGGGCTGAGTGCCTTTAACCTGGTGCCTGTGCTCCTGGGTGCACTGTCACAGAGATGATCACCTCACCTTACAGAGGCAGACGTCTACAGCTAGCTGCCTGTGTCAGAGCCCCTGCAACTCCTCCTCCCCACTGGGAGACCTCAAATGAGTCTGTGCCTCAGTTTTTTCATCTGTAAAGTGGGATGATAATAGTACCCGCCTCCCGAGGCACTTGTGAGTGTCTAATGCACTTAGCGCAGCACTCAGCAGGCAGCAAGTGCCCTGTCAGCCCTCACTGTCCTAACCAGAGGGACCGACTCTAGTGACTCATGCAGCTCAGGACTGTGGGGCATAGAAGAGGGGTCTCGTGCCTACACTCAAAAAGAGAACAGTTGAGTGAGGCAGGAAGTCAAACAGTAAGAGAAGAATCACACAAGTGAGGCAGGTACTCAAAAGGAAAGTTCTAGGGCTTGCAGAGTGTGAGACAAAGACCCTGAGGCCTACTCTGGGCAGTCAGGGAAGGCTTCTGGAGGAAGTGACCCTCGGTTGTGATCTGAAGGAAGAGTGGGAGTTTCTAGGGGAAGAGGGAGGCATAGAAAGCATTCTGGAGTGAGGGAACAGCATTGCCAAGTGAGGGAACCACATTCTCAAGTGAAGGAACAGCATTCTGGACTCAGGGAATAGCATTCTCAAGTGAGGGAACAGTATTCTGGGGCAGAGGAACAGCATTCTGGAGTGAGGGAGCAGCATTTGCAGAGGCACAGTAGCAGGAGCATGGCAGCTCAGAGGAGCTGAATGAAGAGAAGGATGGTGAGGTGGGGGCATGGGTGGGCTGGGCTGGGCTGGACTGTGCTGTGCTTCCCAGATCTATCTGCCGAGAGGAAAAGAGCTCATGACAGGGCAAGAGAAGCCCTGTGAGGAAGCTACATCAGAGTCCAAGGTGGAGAGATAGGGGCTTTGGGAAGGCAAGCAGGACTGGGGCCTAGGTTTTTACCTGGGTTTTTACAAAGTGGAGCCATCTTGGAGGTGCCTGTGGCTGGAGGTAGTTTAAACAAGTGGGTGGTGGGTCTCCCCTCAGTCTTGGGGAGTGAGTCCAAGTGACCCCAAGTGACCCCTCATCTCACCTTGCACACAGGCCTGAAGTTGATCCTGGACATAGGCCAGGAAGACTACGTGCCCTTCCTTGCATCCACGGCCGGGGTGCGGCTGATGCTTCACGAGCAGAGGTCCTACCCCTTCATCAGAGAGGAGGGCATCTATGCCATGTCAGGGACAGAGACATCCATCGGGGTGCTGGTGGTATGGCCAGAGTCCAAGGGCAGCCTGAAGGGGAGGAGGGTGGAATCCCCCCTGTCCAGGGCCCTGGCCTAAGGGGTGGAGATCCAGCCCCCAGCCTGGGCCATCCCTTGGCTGGAAGATTAGGGTGCTCCTTGTGGTACCTGCTGGGGCCTGCAGCCCTGCATTTACTCAGCAGTCCAAGGCCCCACATACTTGATGGGAGGAAGGGACTTCCCCTTGACCAAACCCTCTGGTCGCAGGACAAGTTACAGCGCAAGGGCGAGCCCTATAGCCCGTGCACCATGAACGGCTCCGACGTCCCTGTCCAGAACTTCTACAGCAGCTACAACACGACCTACTCCATCCAGGTGGGAAGAAGGTGCAGGCCTTGTGACCCTGGGGCCCCATCCACATCTGCAGGGCCCGTCCCCGACCTCAGGTCCTTGGCTCTGCAGGCTTTTTCTATGTGGCTGTGGGGCACTCTTGGGACTATGGGGCCAGAATAATTCCTGGGTCGGTCCTCCCTAGGGTCTGGGGCGGGCCACCTCTTGGCCCCACTTGGGCAGCTATGTCCTTGGAGATGCCTGAGATTATAGCGGTCTCACTCTGGGAGCTCCCAGAAAGAAAAGACAAAACAATAGCTCATGCTGCAGCGCTCTCGCTGTGTGTGAGATGCTGTGCTCAGGGTTCACAGTCCTTACACCCTCATCTCATCCCTTCAACACCCCCCATGGGGCAATAATATATGAATAACAGCAACATTTATTGACACACTAATAACAGCAGGCGTATCACAGGCTAGGCAGGCACTTTCGTAAATACTTCACATAGACGAAGTCATTTAATCCTCATGACGACCCTAAGATGTGGCTACTATTATCAGTCCCACTTCAGGAAGGAAGAAAGTGGGATAACAGACCCCTGTCCAGATGCCTCATTGATTTCCCTGAGAAGTCCCTCTTTGTATCTGCCCTCCATCCCCCTTGCTGAAGCTGAGGGCTTCCCTCGTGTCCTGATCTCCTGGGTGATCCCAGACCTGCCCCTAGACCTGGCCTCACTGGAGGAGGCAGATAAATCCTTGCAAAGATGACAGATGTGACCTCTCACTGGCACCCCCCTCTCCCAGCCCAGTCTATCTTGGCAGATCTGGAAACTGAGGCATAACAGGGCAGCCCGGCATCTGCCTCCACGTCTGGGAGCCCCAAGCATGGTGTGGCTTCCCCTTTTGCTTAAGTCACAGAAATTGACCCTCCTGGCACCTGCCTGCCCGCCCACTGATTGGCCGCTTTCTATCTGGAGGGGTTTTGGCCCACCACAGAGAAATCTGAGGATCTTCCAGGCCTCTGGAGGGATAGACGGGGAGAAGGGAAAGGTGGAGAAAGAACCCCAACCCCAGGGACCTCCTTCCATTGCAATCATAGCTGTTGCTTCTTCCAGAGCAGGAGCCACTCAGGCTGGAAACCATGGCAGAGACCAAGCCCAGGTCAGGGGCTCTGCACAACCCACTCCCACCTGCCATAGTCATAGGTCTTGGGGGGACTCCCACTTTCCAGATGAGACAGAGGGGTCTGGAAGAGTTGAGACACTTGTCCAAAGTCAGCGCCTCCCCAGCCCCAGCTCCGGCTCCCCTGGCTGTGCCATTTAATCTGCCAGCTGCTTTCATGTCCCCTTTTCCTGCCCTCGGGACCCCCAGACACCTCAAGGAGAATAGATGGCCTGGCATTGAGGGGAGGAGCAGAGGCAGAGAGGAGTCTTCAAGGCTTGGAGTGAGGAGTCCCTAGTGGTCAAGACAGACACCTTGGCTCAGCGCCCGTAGCACAGTGGTTACAGTGCTGGCCACATGCACTGAGGCTGGCGGGTTTGAACCCAGCCCGGGCCTGCTAAACAACAATGACAACCGCAACAAAAAAATAGCCAGGCATTGTGGGGGGCACCTGTAGTCCCAGCTACTTGGGAGACTGAGGCAAGAGAATAGCTCAAGCGCAAGAGTTTGAGGTTGTTGTGAGCTGTGACACCACGTCACTCTACCCAGGGCTACATCGTGAGACTCTGAAAAACAAAAAAAGACTTAGACACGTGACAGGTAGGGAAGCACAGGTGACAGATAGAGAAGCATGGGTGACAGCAAAGCACAAGTGACAAGTGGAGAAGCACAGGTGACAGGCCGGGAAGCACGGGTGACAGATGGGGAAGCACTAGTGACAGGTGGGGAAGCACCTGTGACAGCACCTGTGCTGTGCTGAGCCCTCCTGCCCTTAGGAGGCAGGCGTGAGTAACACCCTGTTTCACCCATGAGCAAAGCCAGGCTCGGGCTAATGACCTGCCCTATGACACATAGTTGGTGTCTGAATGGATGATACCAGGTCAGAATGGCCTGGGCTGGGGCCCCATGAGTGGAGATTCATCTTATCCAGTCACTGGGGCTGCTGGAGTCCCTTCTCCCTGCCCTGGGCAGGGGACATTCTGCTGCCCAAGAGGTTGCTCCCTTCCTCTGTTGTCAGTGTTGGTCAGGATGGCCAAAGTCGTCTTCTCACTTTCCCTGGGTGTGTCCCTCCAGAGGAAGGAGCAAGGTGGCTTGCCCATCTTCCTCACGCCACCTCTCTGCATATGTTTGTGTCTGCATACATTACACACACATACATTGGAAGGTGCTGGCTTCCTCCTCGGGAGAGCTGCCTAAGCACTGGCTGCATTGTTTGGGGCAAGGCACCCTCCCCATGGTGAAGTGTGGGGGCTCAACTCTGGTTGGTGAGGCCTGGGCTGCTGGGAGCTGGCCAGAGTCCTTCTGTGGAGTCAAGGGACTTGCTGCAGTGAGGCTCAAGAGGGGAGGATGGCCACATCCTGACTCCAGAGGCCCCCAACATCTCAGCACAGCTTCTCTGCCTAGGGGACACCTCTCCCGGGTCCCTCAGCTCTATGGCCTGGGTGTCACTTCCTGGGTACCTTCTCCTAGCATGAGGGTGGCCAGGTACGTGAGCATTCATCAGCTGAGCCCTACCCCTGCCACCCTCCAGGCCTGTCTTCGCTCCTGCTTCCAAGACCAAATGATCCAGAACTGTAGCTGTGGCCACTACCTCTACCCCCTGCCCCCTGGGAAGAAATACTGCAACAATAAGGACTTCCCGGACTGGGGTGAGTGGGGCCACAGAGGAGCGGGCAGAGCTCCGTGCCTTGGCGGGGCGTGGGGACGTGCCCTAGCAGCTTGTCCATGGTCCATGATCCCTCCTCCCAACCCCCTCCCAGGGCCCCTTTCTGCAGGAACCCATGCTTCTTCACTCAAGTCCATGAAGTTCAGGCTTGAAACACACAGGTGTGGGAGCACCTCTGTCCCCGCAGGCCTGTGTCCATGGGCCGTGTGAGGTTCACCTGTGAGCCTGGCCATGTGGCTGTGGCTGTGCCATGTGCACATGTGAAAGGGCATCTCTGAGCTCATCTCAGTGTACAGTGCCCTCGGTGACGGTGGTGTGTTTCTTTGTGTAGGCTTACACACCAGCACTTTGTGTGTGCATACTCTGGCTTTTGTGTATATGTGTGTGTGTGCACACAGGCTGCACGACCATCCTCAGTGTGTGTCTGTGTCTCTGTGGGTTCACTGGTATCTCTCTGCAGGGTGCTGGATGGCAGGGGACAGTGAGGAGGCCACTGTCGTGATGGTGGCCTCTGAGGGCTTGGAACCTGGAATCACAGAAAGAACAGCCCTGGGGTGGGGGCATATCCAGCTGCAGCCCAGGCCTGGGACCCTTGGCGGTCTGGAGCCCAAACACTGCTGAATGTTGCTGGCAGTAGACCCACCTCTTAAAAGGAGCACAACAGACACCAAAAAGGGAAAACGCCATTCCCTCCACCCACCCGTCCCTTCAAACGTGATCACATAACCCTGTCCCCTGGGCAGGGGATGGCAGCACAGGGAAAGCTGCTCTGATGCTGTGAGCTGGTCTGGGGTGTTTGGGACAAGTGTCCCCCAGACCAGACAGGGATGACATGGCTGGACATGGGGGTTGGCAGGGGAGCAGTCCTTCCCTACGACACCTTCCCCACCTAACCACGGGCTTCAGGTTGCCCAGGGCCAGAGAGGCTCAGCTGGGGACGGGCCCTGGAAGTCCCCTCATGGTCTCAGCCATGTCCCTCTCTCCTGCTCAGCCCGCTGCTACTCAGACCTGCAGGTGAGCGTGGCCCAGAGGGAAAACTGCATCAACCTGTGCAAGGAATCCTGCAAGTGAGTGGGCTGTGAGGACACGGGTGCAGCACGGGCGGGGCGTGGGGGCCGGTGGTGGGGACAGCCACGGGGCTGGTTTTCTCTTTCAGTGACACCCAGTACAAGATGACCATCTCCATGGCCGACTGGCCGTCTGAGGCCTCCGAGGTGAGATGGTGTGTGGCTAAGATCTTTGGGCTGGGGACAAGGAATGAAGGCTGCTTGGAACTTTGGAAGGGGCACCTCCCTCCTTCCCTCCTGTCTCCCTTCTTCCCTTCTTTCTTCTTCCCCCTTTCCTTTTTCCCTCCCTCCCCCTCTCCTTCCCTCTTTCCTTCCTTCCCTCCTTCTCTCCCTCTTTCCCTCCCTCCTTCCCACCTTCTCATCTCACAGTCCTCCTTCCTTCCTTCCTTCCTTCTTTCCTTCCCACCTCCCTTCCTTCTCTCCTTCCCTCCTTCCTTCCTTCCACCAACATTCCCCAGGCACTGTGCTGGGGACAGAGCAGTGAGAGGCAGACGCAGCCCTGGGCACTCCCGGAACTTGTGTCCCAGCCAGAGGGAGACGTTACACAGAAACAGAAATAAGACCACTTCAAGATGTGGGCTTGGCTTTCAAGGAAATGGATAGGATGATGCAGACAGTGGCCAGGGAGACCACTGCAGACACAGTGCTCAGGGGGAGGCCTCCCGAAAAGGTGACACCCAAGCTGAGGTCTGGAGGTGGAGGCTAGGTCAGCAGCAGGCAGAACTGGGTAGAACACTGGGCCTGGAGGGAGAATCTGCGGGCCGTGTCCCTTCTCCCCAGGACAGCAGCTACAGCTGCCAACATGACCTTGCTCCTGCCCCCATCCCACTCACGGCCCCTAGATGTCAGGTGGCACAGGGCTGCTGCCTTCCTCCCAATAGGGAGCAGAGGTGGTGCTGGGGGGGCACCGTAGATGCCATTTTCCTCAGCTGTCTTCTTGGGTTCCAGGACTGGATTTTCCACATCTTGTCCCAGGAGCGGGACCAAAGCACCAATATCACCTTGAGCAGGTGAGCCTGGAGCCTGGGCTGGGCTGCGGAAGGCATGAAAGGGGGAACTGGAGCCTCAGCGCAGAGGTTTGGGTACAGGGCAGCTGCTCAGACCCCTTCCAACACGGTCAGACCAGGAGCCAGCATAGAAGGGGAGGGCTGAGAGGGAGGAATGGAAAGGCAGCCCCAGGCACCCAAGTCCACCTCCCCACAGGGAGGAGCCTGCACTTCTCTGTGCTACCCGACCATCCAGCAGCTGTCACTCACCCCTCCATCGCCTGTCCTTCCACCCCCACCCCATCCATCCCCCATACCCCCACCCTCCATCCTTTCAACACAAACACACTCAGCACGACTGAGACCTATGAGGAAGCTGTCAGGAGCCTGGAGGACACATCTCTGCAGACAGGGCTGGCGGTCAGGGGGTCTATACACCCCCCCCCCCAGGAGCACAGTAGGGAAGGAGCCTCAGGCTGCCTGAGACAGGAGAGAGAGCTATGGAGAGAGCTATGGAGGGAGGTGACAGCTGGACTTTCCCAGAAGGAACTACTCAAATAAGAAGAGGCAAAGATGGCTCGGCACCTATGGCTCAACCGGCTAAGGCGCCAGCCACGTACACCTAAGGTGGCGGGTTCGAATCCCCAGCCCGGACCCGCCAAACGACAATGATGGCTGCAACCAAAAAATAGCCGGGCGTTGTGGCGGGCGCCTGTGGTCCCAGCTACTTGGGAGGCTGAGGCAGGAGACTCGCTTGAGCCCAGGAGTTGGAGGTTGCTGTGAGCTGTAATGCCATGGCACTCTACCCAGGGGGACAGCTTGAGGCTCTGTCTCAAAAAAAAAAAAAAAAAGAAGAGGCAAAGATGCTCTGGCAGAAGACAAGCTTGGGCAAAAGCCTGGAGCTGAGACAGCGCAGGCTCTCTGAGGCCTTCGGGCGTGAGCAGAAGCCTGCTCGGCCACCCTCCTCTGCCCCAGGTGCCCTGATGGCAGAGCAAGGCTTGGCAACTCTGTGCAGGGTCCCTGCCCATGTGCTGGGGTGTGAAGGGGACCTTGGAGCGGATCTTTGGGGCTGTCTCAGGCCAACTGAGATCGGGTTGGAAACTGACAGGGATAGGGTTGAGAAAGTAGTTACAGGCAAGTTTTGGACAGAGAAGGCCTGTAAGAAGATCAGGCCAGGGGAGGGCTGGGGCCACCCCATAGCTTCCTGTCCTGTGTACACGGGTATGCATGTGTGTACTCGTGTGTGTGCATGCCTGTGTATGTGTATGCATGTATGCACATATGCGTCCATATGTGCATGCCTGTGTGTACATGTATCATATATATGCGCACACATGTGTTCATGTATGTATACATGTGTGTGCACTGGGGAGGAGGTTCCACAGTCCCAGCCCTTCTTGCTGCCTCCTGCAGGAAGGGAATCGTCAAGCTCAACATTTACTTCCAAGAGTTCAACTACCGCACCATTGAAGAATCGGCAGCCAATAACGTGAGTCTGGGGGGTTCCAGACATCCTAGCCCTGCCTTGCCCCATCCCCTGCACCCCGAGGGTGGAGAGAGTCCTGAGCCTAAAAGGGGACATTAGGAAGGTCCCTAAACTAGTCTAGGATGGCCACCCTTCTCCCCTTCTGTGAGGATGAGCCAAGGCTGGAATTGGGACCCTCTCCACCCCCCTCCCCAGCCAGGCCCTCACATGCCCTCCCGCTCTCCACAGATCGTCTGGCTGCTCTCAAACCTGGGTGGCCAGTTCGGCTTCTGGATGGGGGGCTCAGTGCTATGCCTTATCGAGTTTGCGGAGATCATCATCGACTTCGTGTGGATCTCCATCATCAAGTTGGTGGCCTTTGCCAAGAGCCTGCGGCAGCGCCGATCACAAGCTCGCTATGCTGGGCCACCACCCACCGTGGCCGAGCTGGTGGAGGCCCACACCAATCCCGGCTTCCAGCCTGACACGGCCAACCACAGTCACAGCACAGGGACCTACCTTGATGAGCAGGCCCTGACCATTCCGGGCACCCCACCCCCTAACTATGACTCCCTGCGTCTGCAGCCCCTGGATGTCATCGAGTCCGACAGTGAGGGTGACGCCATCTAGCCCTGTCCCTGCCCACTCTGGGCAGCTTAGGAACTCGAAGCTGAGAAGCAGAGGCCATTGGTCAAGTCCTCCTTTTATGGTGCCCTCTCCAAAGGACCAGATGAGAGGTGTCCAAGCCCAGAAGTTGAATCTCTCAGCATTGAGACAAGCAGCAAGTGGCCAGTCCCAGGTTGAGGGCTCCACAGGGCCACAGGGCTGTGCAGGCTGTGGGGACCGTGTTTCTCCCTGGCTCCTGAGCACATCCCCACCTGTCCTGATCCTTTCCCTGGGGTATCCCCAGCCAGACCCCAAGGAACCCTGGAACACCCATTTGTCTGCTGCAGAGAGAAGTAGGTGGGCATGCTGTGTGTGGCTCTTTTTTCTCGGCCTTGGCTGACCTCTGGGAACAGACTCAGGGAGGGTAGGGGTGGTGGGAGGAGGAAGAGCATCACACGTGGGGGCCCTGCCAGGTGGCACCTGCTTTGTTCTAGAAAATAAAAATAGAAAACACTGTGTCAAGCTTTGTCCTTTGTCCAGCTAGGCAGCTGGAGTGCCCTAGGGTCCCTCTGGGGGTGGAAGGGCACCCACACTCAGCAACGGCTGGCCAAGTGTCTCTTCAGCCAGCCAAGGGGCAGCCCTCTCTTGTAGTTCTGAAAGTTCCTTTTAAGTTGTCCCTGGAGCAGTGGCCTAATGACTTTTTCAATGCCACCCAGCCTACATTTTTGGGTTACAAGGCCAAAGCGGGAGGGAGAGAGAAAGAGAAAGATCTGAAGCCAGTTTGGCCCCCAGAAGAACCATGTTTTCCAAGGGTGATGGGGGTGGGGGGACATGACTCCTGGGGCTGCCAGATGAAATACAGGTGCTTGGTTAAATTTGAATTTCAAATAGACAACAAAACTCTCTAGTATATATTTGGAGCATATTATACTAACAAACCATTTGTTGTTTTGCTGTGAACATCCTATATTTTTAATTGCTAAATATGACAACCTTAAAGTCCCCACAGAGAGATCAGGAGGCTCTTACCAAAGAAGAGCAAGGCCTGGCGGGTGCATACAGTGGACCGCTGCAGCACCTGCTGTCACTCACCAGGCCATGGTCATGTGGAGCACTGGCTGAGAGCCTGCATCACTGGGGGCGCAGCCTTGTTTGCTGGCCTCGTTCCCCGGGTCTCTTAGTCTGGAAGGTAAATAATCTGGCTTCTTGCCAAGTGCCCATTGTGGCACCTGGGGAGGAAGGAGGTGTCACAGAGTTGGTGCCACTCTGGTCAAAGGCAGATTGCTGGGGGCCAAGTAGGGGCCACCTGAAGGAGGCTGGTTTTCCAGCTCTGGGCTTAGCTGGTCTGAAGGCTGGAGTCATGATTCTTGGTGGTTACTACTATGACTATGGCTTTCATTATTAGCAGCCATAGTTATCCCACACTCACTGTTAACATTTGGGGCCAGTATTAAACAATGGCTATATTGTATCAAGGACTTCCCATATGCCAGGCACCATGCCAAGTACTTTAGTCTTATTTCATTTTATTCTCATAACTACTGAATCAGTCAGGGGTACAGACAGCATCGTCCCATTGTACAGGTAAGTGAACTGAGGCGTAGGTGAAGTTAGATGCCCAAGATCACTATTCTAGTAAGTGAGAGATCCGAGATCCCAGCCTCACTCTCTTGGTACCACTGGTCATAGCCACACCAGTTGCTTATTGCAGCCTGGAGCATTCACAATTTTTGGCCCATCTGAAGCTGTGGAGCATTATTGTCTAGCTGGCTCCTTCCTGTGCCAGCTCTTTGGTCACCTGTTAGAACAGGCTTAAGCAATAAAGGGAATTCCTTTTGTAGTAAAAGGAATCTCAGAGGTGGCTGTACACAGGGGCACACCTAGACGTGGTGTTTCTGTGTCCTGTCCCTCACACTTAGACTCATTTGGATTATGGTCACTGTGGCTGGGGAAGGTTTGGGGGATGGGGGATGCTACCTGGCCAACCCTGGGGAATTCGCAAGGGACAAGTAGGAGGTTCTGTTCAAGTGAAGCCAGGATCAGGGTGAGCATCAGCTCAGCTTCCCTCCTCTTGGGGGGCAGGGAGGGCCATGAAATAATGGCCTATCACTAAAAGCCAGGCCACCCTTGCCCCTCGGGATCTACAGGAGAAAAATGCTGTCCTATTCCCACCCTGGGGCCCCTGCACAGACTTTTAGGGCTGAAAACTTAGGTGGGCAGGGCCCAAATCGCCCAGAAAATGTAATTCTATTATTCCCACCTCTACCACAAAAGGGACTGTGGGTTGCAGATGCTGGAGGACCATGAAATGAACATTGTGTACCTGCAGTCACCTCCTCTGTATCTCAATAGCTCTTCCAACAACCGTAGGAGTTAAGTACCACTATGCCCCCCATTTTCAGATTAGGAAGAGTCTTAGAGGGAGGGAGTGACTTCCCTAAGGTCACACAGTTGTGAATCAAGCCCATCTCTGTCCTATTCCAAAGACTGGTGACTCTCAGGACGAGTTTCCACTTGAAAGCAGCACCGTGTCACCTTCTAGGTTTCTGGCTCTCACTTCTTCAAGGCAAGGGCCAGGCTCAGACCTTGCCAGGGAACAGTCTGTGATCTACCATATGAGAAACCAAAATATTTTTCTTGGTGCGGGTTTGAAGCTGATGTTCTGTCAGAGCCAGCCAACTCGATTCCAAGATGTGGGGACAGAATGTGTGGGAACCTCCGTGAAGACAGACCCAGTGAGACAGTCACCCTGGCAGCCTGTGGGGCTGGCTCGGCCACTCTTGAGGGCTGGCTTAGGCAGGCTGACCTGGCCACTGGGACTGGGTATCCTATCACATGCCTCTCAGGCCCCACACAAAGAAAGCTGTGCAGCAGTCTGTCAGGGTCACCAGGCTCATTCTGAACCCCAGACCTTCCACGTGGTAGTTGAGTGACCCCAGAAAAGAACCTAACCCTCTCCACACTGGAGAGCTCAGCCCAGGCAATACATTATGGTTGGTCTAAGCCAATATTTCTCAACTGCAAGTGGATTTACCCCTCAGGAAATTTCCAGAGATGTTTATGTTGTTCCAAGTAGGAAAATTAGGTCAGGGGCATTGCTGGACACCCTCAGTGCACGGGAGAGCTGCGCAAGAGACAGCTGATTGGCCTCAAATGCTGCTGGTGCTGAGGTTGAGAAATGTCAGTTGAAGTCAAGCCCATGTCCCACTTCCCCACCTCCCTTGCAGCTGGGGATGATGCCTCGTGACCAGGAAACGGCCAATAAGGCCCAAGAGCAGGTTGGCCCGCAGCATGTCACCTGAGACAAGGGACATGATGGCCGCTCTGCACGTGGATGCAATGTCTGTGACTCAGGAGTCACCTGTGACAACGAGGCATCCACGTGTGGGGCAAAGGTTAAGATTGCCGAGAGGCTGGTCTTGGTTCTAACTCCTTGCAGCCAGTAAATTGGTGCCTGTGGCCTCCACCCTTGGGTATCTTTTTACTGAGAAAAATTAATTCCTATTTATTTAAGTCACTCACATCAGTTTATCCCATTACTTATAGACAAATACAATCCTGACACATACAGAGACTATTAGCACACATAATAAAGGATGAAATTCACATCATCCCATAAATTTTTAAAAAATAAATAAACCACTTCACCATGGCCTACAAGACCCCATAAGATCGAGCCCTTGATGTCCTACTTTCCTCCACATTGCTCACTCTTCTCCAGCCCCCTGCTGACCTTGGACATGGCTGACCTTAGATGTCCCTCAGGTCAAAGCCTGCACTTCACCCTCAGCCTGGACACTCCTCCTTAGCTCTCTGCCACGTATCTCTCATCCTGTAGGTCTTGGGGCTGCGGGGCTGCCCACCCTTGCCCGATGCCATCTCCCACCCTTACTAGCCCTTAACATCTGAAATCATCCTCTTGGTTTACCTTCCTCTCCCTCCCTCCCTTTCCCACTGAGTGTAAATTACAGGAGAGGATTTAACTACCTCCTCCACAACCACACTCCCAGTGCACAGGGCATAGCAAGCGGGAAGCACTCGAATATTCACTGGAGGAGGAAGGAAAGAAATCAGCCTTCTCTCATTTCACAGTATTTATTAATTCCATTTTCAAGGTCAGATCATATTAAAAAATTATCTAAAAATTCTCCCCTGATAAATAATATATCTCTAATTTACAGCCTGTTTTTCGGTTGTATAAATGAAACAAGTCTTTTTAAAACAAATTCTGCCCAATCCCTGGCAGTTTTCACATGAATATGTGCTGGGGAGTCCTGTGATTAGAGCACACTGGATCTGACCTTGGCAATCAGGTGTGCAGTGGGGTCAGTAATTCACACTCCGCATGGTGGCCACCGTGGTGACCAGGCGACGAGGAAGGCCTTTGCTAACCTGCCTGTAATCCTCAGGCCTGGCCTTCAAGAGTGTCACGATGTTCTGGAGGGTACGGGATGGCTGCAGGCCCAGGGCGTCCATCACATTGATCAGATAGTCTGTGGAGAGTGGAGAGGAGACAGAGAGTGCCACAGACTCAGCACGGGCAAGACAGTGCCCCAGAAGGCCTTCCCTGACTGAGAAACAGAGAAGATGCCCCTGCTGAGCCCCCAAATGCTGGGTACCTACTCCGCCTTAGGCAGTGGACAAAGCTTTACAGAGAGGGTCCTTCCAACAGGGTCAAACTACACTGTAAGCTTGGTCTAAGCCTAGGAATTCTGATTTAATAAAGCACTAACTAGCATCACCCACCAACACACATGCACACACAGATACACACAGAGAGCCCTCTAGCACCAGTCTGAAGACAAGCTGACCCCACTCCAAGCCTTGTATTGGGGACTCCTGGGCTCCCACCTGCCCCCAATGTATCCTACTGACCATGTGGGAAACCCAAAGGGTCGGGAGATGCAGCTGTGCTTGTTTGAGCAGCTGCCAAAGTCTTCCCATCAGAACTCCACAATGAAGGCAGGCCCGTCTGAGGGGGTGGCCCAGTACAATGGAGATTTCTACACTTCCCATATAAGTCAAGGCACTGGGAGCACAGACAAAAATGCAGTTCTGAGCCTGCTCCCCAGACCAAGCTGACCACCAAGGGAGGGTCCTAGGGCTCTGATGTTCTAAGAGGTGACCCCAGTGATTCCAACCACAGACAAGCTGGGGTGACACAGGCATAATCAAGGGCAAACTGGAGAGCAGCCAGGTGACCTCAGGGAAGTCCTTCCACCTCCCTGATAACCCTGATGAGACAGTGTGGCAGGGGGTCAAATGGGACAATGGGCACCTAATGTGGTCCAGGTGACGGATGATGGGTGCTGCCTTCCCTCTCTCCCTCCTGGGCAAGCACAACCCCTCCCTCTTCACACTCTGAAGGACGAGAGGACAGCAGCACCCCAGATGTTCATCTCTTCCCCTCACTTGGAGTGGAGCTCCATGCAATCTTCCTGCATGTCTTCTTTTTGAGGGCCTACTCAGGGCAGGGCCAGTAGGAGGTGCCCACTCTGTCCTGGCTGGATGACTCATGTCCAAGTCAGGATGAACTGCTCCCCAGGAGGCGTGCCACCAGTCAGGTACCTGCTCCTACACAAGCGTCTCCATAAAACTGTGAGCACCCCTGCACTGGGAGCCAGGAGCTACAATGGGGACCCCACAGTCTCCCATGACATTTTTTTTTTTTTGGCCATCAGTGTTTCTTATCCTATTTGCATTAATGCTTAATCTGAACATCTTTCAGGTGGTGTGCAATGCCACAAACCTCCCCTCTCCCTATCGCCTTACACCCTGGCAGCTGTATACGTTAGCTTCACCTACCTGGCCCCTAACCTCACTCCCACACAGTGTAAGTGCAGTGAGGAAAACAACTGTCAAAATCTCTGGTATCTCTGTCTCCTTGAACTCAGCTGGCAAACAGATACTCAATACAGGTGAATGAGGGAACAAAGAACCTGCAGGCGAGCTTAACAACAGGGAGAAATAACCCCAACAACAGAAATCTAGGAGCAATCCCCGAATCACTTCACTTACTAGTTCCGGTTGGTTCTCTCCCCAGTGCTCCTGCCTGCACTAACAGGGAGTATCAAGGCACATTGGAATTCCCTCACCTGCACTAACGGGGAGTATCAAGGGCACACCGGAATTCCCTCACCTGCACTAACGGGGAGTATCAAGGGCACACCGGAATTC